AATTCTGCAGGTGATTCTAATATGTAGCTATGGTTAAGAACTCTGATAAATAGCTGCTGAATGAATGAATCAATAAGTGTTGAATGAAATTAGGGACAAAGCAACATGGATGAATCTTAAGGGGATTCTGCTAAATGAAGTAAGTCAGAAGGAGAAAGACAAACGAAGGAATACACCAGAATGTTAATCGAGATTTTCTCTGATTAATGAGATCATATTCTAGCTTTGCATTCTTTCTGTATTTTCCAGTTTTCTGAAAATGAGTATCATTTTATTGTTAGAAAATATAAAATCACTAAGTGACTTTCATTTATCGTACTGCGAGAGCTAAAGGTTTCATAAATCATGGTATTTGGGGATTGAACCAAAGATTTTACTTATAAACCTTACACACATCACCTGATGTGTGTGTGTCTGTGTGTTCAGAAGGTTAAAGGGTCAAGTCCCTGCAGTCAGTGACCTGGTGTTGCTCCATCCACTGTGTTTACTGTTCAGCTTCCATTAATCCTTTACAAAAGAAACTCACTCCGGGGATGAGAAGACAGTTATTAAACAAGGGGTACCACCTCACTGCCTTCACATTTGTTTTCACAAACAGGAAATAACAAACACATGCCCTTTGCTAGGTCAAACTGTGGGATTTGGGCAAAAGCACCCACATGTTAAAACACGGCGTGGGGGCAGATTGTATTGAGGATGACAATGTTTCATTAGCATTAGACCACCTAGAACTACAAATAGTATTTTCATTCTGAGGAAGAAGAGAGATGTAAGAGGCACAGAGGGAGGTGGGCTGCTGTGCCTTCATGGGATAAGGATGGCTGATCTTTGGTGATGGATGCGCTCTAGGGCCTGGAAGGAGTTGTTGCCCAATTTCTGGAGAAGGACTGTGGTTTGGCTCATAGATCCCAAAGCTTGGCTACCTGGTGCTTTATTAAATCTGCCAGCGTTAACGAGTCTGCAATGTGCTGGTCTCCTTCCTGATTGGGGTCAACTTAGAGGTTAGGGTGATGGTGGTGATGACGTACTTAAACAATTTCTCTGAGTTCCATTTGCTGATTGTCTAGTGGAAGAGAAACCCAGCCTGATCCTTTTGTTTTATATGTAGAAACTTGCCCTGAGAAAGGGAGAGAGCACAAATCCTATGGTTACCTAGCAAGTTTGTGGCAGTGTACCGGATGATACAGTGCCAGACCAGGTTGTCTGGACAATACTCAGGAAAGAATGAATCACACCAGGGGTGGCATGCCCCTTGGGGGAGGTACACAGTGGGGCACGAGCGTGCCTTCCGTGGACTGTGGGAAGAAGGAAGACGTTCATGGAGGCTTCCACGGAGGTGAGGATTTATCTAACTGTAACTTCTTCCCAATTTTCAAATCTTTGAGTGGATAACCTTCCACAGGCTGCCATTTTAGAACTAGAATAAAGAATAAAACCAAAGCTTAAAACTTTTGGGGAGGGCACACAGAGGTTTTCTTTCTCTTCCATGCTTGTGGAATAGGTATGTTCTGAGCCATCCTTGCAGACACAAACAAAATGAATTACTAAGGTGTTTTAACTTTTCTTAGTCTCAAGTGTTTAAGGGTTCTCATAACCTTGGTCAGATAACCTCTTCAAGAAGCAGCGTCTAATAACAAAAACAAAGAGAAACCCCACCAACTGGGAGAACATTTTTGTACCCAACACTAATGATAAAGGACTGATCACAAAAATCTGCAAAAAGCTGATGAGACTCAACAACAACAAAGAAAATAATCCAGTCCAAAAATGGGCAGAAGAGCTAAAAAGAAACTTCTCTGAAGAGGAAATGAAAATGGCCAACAGGCATATGAAAAAATGTTCAACATCACTTGTCATCAGGGAAATGCAAATCAAAACTACCATGAGATACCATCTTACACCAGTGAGAATGGCACATATAAAAAAAAACTAGCAACAACAAATGTTGGCGAGGGTGTGGAGAAAAAGGAACTCTTCTGCACTGTTGGTGGGAGTGCAAACTGGTCCAACCACTATGGAGAGCTGTGTGGAGATTTCTGGACCTACTAAACATAGAGCTTCCATATGATCCAGCAATTCCACTCCTAGGTATTTACCCAAAGGACACAGAAACATCAATTCCAAAGAGCACCTGCACCCCTATGTTTATAGCAGCACTGTTTACAATAGCTAAGCTTTGGAAACAACCCAAATGCCCAAAAATAGATGACTGGATCAAGAAGATGTGGTACATATACACCATGGACTATTACTCAGCATTCAAAAAAGATAAACACATGCAATTTGCAGCAACATGGATGGCGCTGGAAGGGATCATGCTCAGCGAAATAAGTCAGAAAGAAAAAGAAAAATAACGGATGGTCTCACTCATAGCAGGAATCTAGAAAACTTAAATAAGGGACCAGGAAAATGAATAACTATAAGAAAGTGAAAATCAAAATCAACAAACAACTATGAACCAGAGACACTTTTTGGGGGTGGGGGCGGGAGGGGAGGGATTGGGGTCAGAATGGGGGGTTGCAATTGTATGGGGAATATAAAAATAAAATTTATTATTTAAAAAATAAAAAAATAAAATAAAATTTCAGTATTTACAGAGGAAAAAAAAAAGAAGCAGCGTCTAAAAATGGGGAAAAGTGGAAAAAAAAACTATTGTTCATCATCATTAAGAAACAGGTACAGGGCTTCCTCAGTGGCGCAGCGGTTGAGCACTGGGCTGCGAAGCTGCCCGCAGCCTCTGTAGCGCCAGTTCGATCCCCGGCTTCTCCCCAACCACCGGAGGAGGGTCCCACATGGCGCGCAGACCTCTCCTGCCGCCCGCTGCTCCCCTCAGCAGTGTACTTCGGTCCTTCTGCCTGCTGTGCTCCCCGCTCTGGCTCTGGTGAATTCTCTCACCCTCCTGCGCTTCTGACTGTACCCAGTGCTTGTATAGATAGATAGATAGATAGATAGATAGATAGATAGATAGATAGATAGATAGATCTTTTAAAAAAGAAAGAAAGAAAAGAAACAGGTACAGAAGGCCTAATGCCATAGTCAGGCACACAGTAATGGTAGCTCTTCTTAATATTTTGCAATCAGTCGGTTCTCTTTTGAACTGGCAGCAGCAGACGCAAAACAGCTTTTCTTACAAACTGCATCTATTGACAATATTATTAAATTAATGACTTACAGGCATTCCATTAGAATGCAAAAAAATGCGGGGGGCGCTCTGGGATGGACCACAATAGGAAAAAGCTGTGGTAAAGGGCTTTTCCAGAACAGAATACCCCAATCGGTCCACAGGTTCCAAGATAAAATATCATTTCGCATCCTCTAGGGATCAAAAATGCAGGGCTGGGGCTGGGCAGCAGGTCGAGGACAACCATTTTTCCAGAGATTTGGTTGAACAGTTTTTTTGCTCCCCTCCCCCCAGAACCTTAAGTAATCATACTTGCTTTTTTCATTTACTCTTTATAGTTGACCAGAACTAGACAAACCAACATTATTTTCCTCTCTTCCCTCTGCTGTCCCTTCCCCCACCTTGTTATTTTTCTCAAATATTTGAAATGCTTTATGGGTAAAAATATATATTGCTCCAACTAAAATTCTTTAGCAGTTTAACTCTGAAATGAAGAACTTTATCACGAGACAGGTCAACGAAAGAGTGCAATTATTAAATAATTGGAACCAAGAATCCTGATGACTGTAACTAGCATTAAAATTGGCTGAACCACAAGGGTGGAATGGAATGAGAAAGCACATTCCTATATTCCGAATATTTTCATGACAATAGTTTCTTTTTGAAAATTTTAAACATCCTTGTTTATTTTTTCCCAGTATAGGATGTCTCCCCGCAGGTGCGGTCACCACAGTTATCCCACGACCCATGTGCCCACAGCCCTCCACCACCCTCCACCCTGCTCTCCTCCACCTTGTTCCTTACTCTCCTCTTCTTCCTCGCCCTCTTCCCCCTGAGTGTCACAGATCTGTGCACAGCTTTCAAGGGTCACTCTTACAGTTTCATGACAATGGTTTTAAATAAAATGAAAAAAAAAGAGAGAAAATGATACAGGTCTTCACGCTAAAGTGGTGGATGATTTCCCTACTCTTCAGATAAAGGTTAGAATGCCACAGGAAAGTAATAAAAATTAACAAGATAAACTTTAAAAGGCAGTTACGTGAGTAAATAAACCACTGAATTAATTGCAATGTTTAGCATCTTAACTGTTACAGACATGTAGTATTTGCTAAATGGAGTAGAGAACTATTATTTTAAAGAATATGTTTTATTCTGAGTCATTTTATTAACACATTTGAGCAATTCAATGTGACCTTGATATAACTCCAAAGGGCTAGAAAATCATGAGAGATCACTAAGATTCTTTTTTTTATAGTGATAAAACAGCTGGAAGTCAGACTGTTCTCTTTTGCTGATAATATGTATAAAAACATAGCTGGCCATGTAGGCTGGTAGGGGCAACTGGGGTGGTTAGATAAATTGTAATCATTAGGGCCTTTCTAACCCAGATTTAGATGAAGTAGTCAAGAAGAAAATACCTGATTCTGGTTCCTACATATGTTCACATTCTTAATATGGAATTCAGTGATATGAAATGTGGAGGATAAAAAAGTAAGAACCACCAATCCCTGATTCCAAGATGTTTACAGTTTAGAAGGAAAAAACAAGACATGATGATGTCATCGATTTACCTTGCTTATCTAGCTGTTACAAAATAAGCTTATATTTCTTTCAAATATCTAACTGATAACTGGCTTATATTCATTAACTTCTGGGACAGTGATCAGCATTGAGTAAATGATAAAAAGTACATGATTCAGTCATTATCTATTTATCTCATATTATAACAAGCTACAAACCATTAGGTTTTCTCAGATGAATTGAGTTTCAAAGTTATCCCGTACCTTGGAAAATATTGTTAACTTCTTGATAAAACTGGGGTAGCTAAACACTTAAGGGGAAATTTCTTAATTTAAAAAGAATCAGAAAAGTTACTCACGTGTAGCTCAGCAATGGAGGAAACGAATCTCTCAGCATATCGTCTCTTCAACAAAATCTAACAAAAAAAGGTAATCTTTTTATTGTCTGAAAAATACCACAGAGTTTACTATAATACTTCATCTTTTCCCATAAATTTTAGAATTTTTCCAAGCAAAAGCTCCTCTCCAAATCTTTTCACATTTTCCATGTTGGGGTCATTGTTCTATTCTATATAAGCCAGCTTATTTGTGAATGGTGAATTTGTGAATACCTTAGTAGGCAACAATGTGACAGGAACCAGATTCTTTGTCTTATAGCTATGAATTTAGTTTTCAAGTTATATTTTCTTCACAACCAAATTCAGAAAACAAGAGACATCTTTTTTTTCAGCTTTATTGAGATATAATAGACATAAAACCTTGTGTACAACCTATTGATTTGATATATTTACAAAATGATGACTAGCATAGGGTTGGCTCACACCTCCATCATGTGACAAAATTACTACTTTTTTAAATTTTTCTGTGTGGAGAACACTTAAGGTCTACTCTCTCAGCAACCATCTATGTGATCTTAATTGAATTTTGAACCTAATTTTAAGAAGCAAAGAGTTAGTTGATGAAATAAAGCTCCATGTAACTTGACTGTGCCCTTTTAAAATTTCATTAACATAGTGAAACCCCCCAAAAATCTATAAATAAGCACAGACAACAATTAAAACAGGTGGAAAGATCCAGGAAGTTATTTATTTTATCTACTCCCTCAGTGACTTTCAAGTACACAAGATTGTTACTTCCAAAATGTTCTTTCAGAAGTACCATGACATAAGTAACCCAATTCCTAATTTCACACTTTTTATTAACTATCATACATCCCATGCAAATTGGTATTCCTAAAATCATGAATAAAGAAATGGGGTATTTACTTATTTTGAATTTTCAATGGCAAGGTTTTCTTCTGTAAGCAAACATGTCATTTGTCTTCTAATGCTTCCAAATTAATTAGAACATAATTGGATGTTAATAATCAAATACAAAATTTGCATATGGTGGATGATTTCCCTACTCTTCAGATAAAGGTTAGAATGCCACAGGGAAGTAATAAAAATTAACAAGATAAACTTTAAATGGGCAGTTACACCAGTAAATATACCACTGAATTAATTTCAGTGTTTAGTTTAGCATCTTAACTGTTACAGGCATGTAGTATTTGCTAAAGGGAGTAGAGGACTACTATTTTAGAGAATATATTTTATTCTGAGTCATTTTATTAACACATCTGAGTCATTCAACATGACCTTGATATAACCGCCAAAGTCCAGAAATATTTTTTTTTTTATGGAATCCAAGTGGATAAGGTCAGATTTAAGGATGCCTAAAGATACACTAAGCTGAATGTAAATAATAATTTAAGAGCTCTCATGACTTGTTGATACATAAGTACTTGAAGCACTTCAGAGGAATAAATGTTAGAGCTTGATTTATGGGGAGAGTTTGTAAGTACCATGATTTTAGATTTAGGTATTTTCTTAGATCCGATTAACTATATGGGAAATATCTCAAGTGTAATTGTTAAACAGAGAAGTAATATGCTGTCAGTATAGTGATTTTGGTACCACTTAATAGATTACCTCAAATTTACCTTTATCTAGGTTTACTACTTCTTTGGATTATTTGCAAAAGTGTAATGATTTCTCAGCACTGTGTTCAACTTTGCAAAGTAGCTACTTTTTAGATGCCATTGGTGGCACACCTATGTTCATTCACATTATAATGATGGGCTATGAGAAAAAATTATACTTGCTCTCCATGACTCCCAGTCTTTTAAAACAAATATCAAAACTACATGGGTTTATAATGTTATATAGGTTTCAGGTGTGCAGAACTATAATTTGACATCTGTATATACTCCATTATGATCACAATTGGGTCTAGTTTCCATCTTCCATCATACAATTGGCCTCTTTACCCAAGTGACCCACGTCTCACCTTCCTTCTATTAACCACAATTCTGTTCCTATAGTCTAGGAGTTTGTATTTCCTTTTTTTATTCATTTGCTGTGATTATCTCTATGAGTGAAATCATACAGTAGTTGCCTTCCTGTATCTGACTTATTTTACTGAACATAATACGCTCAAAGTCCATCCATGTTGTTGCGAATAGCAAGATTGCAACTTTTTAAAAATATATAGCTATTCAATTCCTCATTCTTAACAAAAAGACAGAAAATCTTGCTCCTCTCATGTGAGTCTATGCACTACATTTAATGACAAAAAGGCAAAAAGACTGAGTTTATTTTCTAAGCCCATTATATCCTCTTTGCCTTGATTTTCAGTAGATATATCTTTATGAGGCTTGTAAGGGTAGATCAAAGGATGTTCTCTTTTGAGGACCATTTGGATGACTACATGGATTCGGACAGAGGCTGTAAGTAACCCACAAAAAGACCAAGTAAGTGGTTTAATGCAGGAATCAATAAAGATATCTGACTTCTACAACTACATTATTTTAAAAACAGAATAATAGTACCCGAGCTCAAGGAAAGTACAGCAAACAGTCCCTTTAAAAAACAAAGAATAAAATTACAACAGATTCATTCAAATAATTATTGTTCTTTTGTGAAAAAGATGAACTTGAGGTTAATGTGACATTATCTATGAAATGGTGCAAAATCTCTTGTCCTTGAAAGGTATGTCAACAGGCTGCCAGCTTTGGGTTACCTTAGTAACTAATAGAATAAGGACTTCTGAGTATGTAGTGACCAAGGAAAGTGGAAAGCCATTTAGATGTTGTAAGTGGTGCCAAAATATTCTTTTTCATTGCATTAAACTGGTTCATGTTCTTCACTTACTTCAGAACAGTTAAAATAAAAAGATTTTGAAAATAATTTGGTGAAAAAATATGAGCAAAATTAGTATCAGGCAAATAATTTTGCTTCTTACATAAATGATAGTTTTTGTATAAAATCTGGACTTCATAATTAGCATTAAAGTACAGAACAATAACACTGAAGAGATGAGATGAAATGCTTGAGATTACCTTGGTTATACTTTTGAATTGAGATAAATCTTTTGGCTTAAACAGTCAAAATAATATTTTTCAGTGATATTTGGTATAACGGGATATTCCAAGTATCATTTTAGTGATTATTTTTGTCTAAATCTTTAAGGTAAATAGAATATTTAGAATTGTTAACAACTGGGAATTTATCCAGTTCAAGCTCTCCTTTTTCTAGGCAATATTAAGGCTCAGTGAGCTTACCAGACTCATTGGGGAGTGTACGAGGGTAAGAAAACACTGCTTTATTTACTGCTGCTTCTTCCTCTACCAAGCTGCCAACATCACCATGAAATCTGTCCGGTCTGGTTGCTGAGTTCTGCCAATCAGCACAACGTATTGTTTTGTGTGATTTTATTGCTACAAAACACGTACTTTCCTAGCATAGCCCCAGCAAAAAAAGGGGAGAAACTATGCTTTAATAAACAGCCTAGGGCCTCCCTGGTGGCGCAGGGGTTGAGAACAGTGCTGTCAAGCTATTGCCAGCCACTGCAGCGTGAGTTCGATCCCCGGTCAGCAAGGGAGCTGCCCACATGGCGCAGCAGACCTCTCCTGACTCACCCGCTGCTCCCCTCAGCAGTGTATTTCAGTCAGTCCACCTGTTCTGCTCCCCACTCTGTCTCTGGTGGAGTTTCTCACCCCCTGCATCTCTGGCCTGCACCCCAGCTCTTGTATGTATACATAAATAAATCTTAAATAAATAAAAAAACAGCCTAAGTGAAACAGAATTTACATAAAATTCACCCATTTCAAGTGTACAAATCTATTATTTTTAGTATATTCAGAGTTGTGCAACCAGTACTACACATATTCTGATTTTAGAATGTCCATTCCTCTCAAAAGAATCCCTGTATTAACAGCAGTAATGCCATCCCCATTCCCACCCCAGGTAAACACTAGTCTCCCTCCTGCTTACAAAGAATTGTCTATTCTGGACTTTTCATATAAATGAAGTCTTACAGCATGTGGTATTTTGTGATAGGCTTCTTTTACTTAGCATGTTGTGGCATATATCAGTACTTCACTCCTTTTTATTGGTGAATATTTCATTGGCTGGGTAAGCCACAACTTATTTATCTATTCATTAGTTGAAGGACATCTGGATTGTTTCCACACTTTACTATTATGAATAATGTTATGAACATTCATGTACAAATTTTTGTATGGACATATGTTTTCATTTTTTTTTTTTTAAAGATTTATTTATTTATACAAGAACTGGGGTACAGGCCAGATATGCAGGAGGGTGAGAGGATTCACCAGAGACAGAGTGGGGAACAGAACAGGCAGACTGACCAAATACACTGCTGAGGGGAGCAGCGGGCGAGACAGGAGAGGTCTGCCCCTCCATGTGGGACCCTCGCCGGCCAGCCAGGATCAAGCCGGTGCTGCAGAGGCTGCGGACAGCTTCACAGCGTGGCACTCAACCACCTGCGCCACAAGGGGAGGCCCTATGTTTTCATTTTTGCTGTTGGGGATACTGGTCAGACACAAGCAAAGGACTGAGACTAGACTACTATCTCAGCATACACAAAGAGGAATCAAAATTGATTAAAAACTTGAATATAGGGCCTAAATGATAAAATACACAGAAGAAAATATATGTAGTACACACTTTGACATTGACCTTAGTGATGTCTTTGTGGATTCATCTCCAATAATAAGAAAACAAAAGCAAAAATAAACAAATGAGACTCGATCAAACTAAAAAGCTTGTGCACAGGAGAAGAAACTATCATAAATATTAAAAGGCAATCAACTGAAAGAGAAAAATATTTGCAAATCATATATTAGCAAGGATTATATAGATCCAAAATATATAAACAAGCAACAAAACCAAATAACCTAATTAAAAAATGGGCAAAGGATTTAAATAGACATTTCACAAAGTAAGATGCACAGGCGGCCAACCCATACATGAAAATATGTTCCTCGTTGCTTATCATTAGAGATTGCAAATCAAAACCACAATGAGATATCATTCATACGTGCTAGAAAGGCTTTTATCAAAAGACAGGA